AATAAAACAAATCTGAATATAATCAGAAGGAAAGAAGTCGCAGAGAGAGAACAAGTTAATTTTGCAAAGATAATATTAACCTTCGTAGAAAAATAGTGGAAGCAATTTGGTAATGTTTTGCAAGTGAGTTCGGAAAAAACTATTCCTACACTAAGATTAGTTGGGAGATTTTGGATATCGTGTTGAGAAAACAAGAAGTTTGGGAGCTAAATTATAAGTAAAATTTGTATTATTAAAAGTTTGATGTTCGAATTTTTATTCTATTCATAAATATTGATTACATTTTTTTATCTGTTATCTGTAAAGTGGCATTCAGTGAAGTATATCAATTAAGAAAATATCGACACAGTTTTGTATAAAAAATTGAGGAGCTTAAAGAGTAATTTATAAATAAATTTATTGTTTAACTAAAAGCAGTTATGGTTAAGTTATAAATATTAATGTAATGTACATCGATTTAAATTCTTTTTTCAATATAATGTATAGATACTATAATTGCATGTGGTGGTTAATGAATACATCTTTCAACAATTCAATCTGTTTGAATGCTTTTGTGAAATTGTTCATCTTCTTAAACGACTGAAAGCAAAACATAAAGCATTTATCAATGTATCCAACTACCACGATATATAGACTGAAATACGTCATCAAATAATTTACCCAAGCGTACAGAAAGTAGTGTTCAGTCTTCTTCCCTTTCTTCACTTGGAAACCAAAATGACGGGTCATTTGGTGGAGCAACAGCGTGCGAGAGTGTCTTTAGCCGGCACAGAAGCACAGCGCATGTCGGAATACGAAACGTCAATTCCGTTCACTGCCAAAAACGTAAACATTTGTTCATCGCGGGTTGCAGTTGCCTTGTGGATAGCAAAGAGTCTCAGCTGATTTTTCTTACCCATTGCAAAAAGGCGGCAACAAACTTTGTTTTGCAGTTACGTTTGTGGCGCGCCGCGTTCAGCTGGCTGTTCAATGGGGCAAGATTAATCGAATTAGAAAAACGTCTTTGATTTTTGGCGTTTAGAGAAGGAATAAAATTGTAAACAGAGCGTCTTAGAGCAGCACCAGGAAGTGGACAAGAATTTGGTAAAAATAACTAATAAAAAATTAATTTGGCAGTGGCTATTGCGGTCAATGTGTGCAGATACAAGATTCTCGTAGGAATATTTTCTGAGGTACTTGGCAGTGAAATTGTTTGAGAATAAATAAGTAAACTTATGAATAATTTTATTTATTTTAAGATGTGTATTTTTAAGCTAAAAATATACTTATGCATTTTATTGATTTTGAACATTTTTCAAATGTACATGTTTGAATTTCCCGAAAATTCAATTTAATGTGCACGCATTGTTTCTTTAGGCATATAAAGATACTCGTACCATATTTGTTGCTTAGCATTTTTCATATATTTCCTTTTGATGTAGGAAAGTGCAAGATACTTATTATGTGGCAATTTCAATGTGTGTGTGTGAACTGAAAATACTGAGAAAAGAACATTTGCAGCCAATATAGACTTAGAAAGTCCACTAAAGAACTACTAATGAATGTCTTACCATACAATTTACAAGTACAAGCAATGCACAAGGGTAGCATTAGGCACTACTATGTAAGGGTTGTAGTAGTTTCTCCCTTTTAAACAAAATTTCCCCTAAAAGGAAACGCTTTTCACTATTTTTGAGAAGAATAAATAAATAAGTTGGAAATGTGACGCCATACATGTTATAAAGTGTTATAAAGTGCTTGAAATAGAAGTAAAATTTTCTTTCCTTTGTTGGAATAAAAGACGTCCTCCCAGTTAGCCTATATTGCGTGTTCAGGCAAATTTATCTGCTCTCATGTGACATAATTAATAAACACATACTCGTATACTACACATAGATACGAAATTGTATAAACTATCCATTGAGTGAATAGTTCTATTTAACTTATGTGTGAAAAGCCAGTTACGATATATGAAGGCGAGGTTTCTAATTTGAATAATTTCTTCCACATTACACATTTTCGATTTCCTAACTGCAGTATCTTTTTATACTTATATCTAATGATTAATACTAAAAGTGATTGTTTTCAACTATATATATGTGTCGGATGGCGAGTATAATATTGTTATATATATTTTATTAATACGACTTAATGCCCTGATGTACCTACTCCTTTAATGAGTTCTTGACCCCACTGTAGTTCTGAACCCAATTTTAGTGGTCATAAATGTGCTTCATGCTCTCACCCATTAGCCCAATAATACTTTAATTGAATTAAAATTCTGTCCGAATGACTTAAATTTTAATAGAATTAATGCACATATGTGTCCATAGTTTTCCTTTTAGGAAAAAATTAGCATGTCATGTTGCGTTTGACGTAATTGGCGTCCTTGTATCTATTCTGGGATTTTCTTCTCACACTTTCTTTTATTATTTTATTTATTTAGTTAGGTTTTTAGCTTTGGCATTCATGTTTAGTGATAAATTTGATAAATTTGGTAATTTTATGGTACAGCACATGAACTTGCCATATCCTGCAAATTATATTCACAACAAGAAAATTGCGTGCTTATCCTTTTTCAATATAGTCAAGTGAAGTCGGAACGCATTCCATAAAAGAATGTAAAAAATTAACTTCTCTAAACCAACTTTAGAGACAATTTTTTTTATTTTTATCTAATGTTATTAATTCATTAACCAATTTAAATATTGCTTGTTTTTTTTGTGCATAAAAAATCAATTTTTCTGTGATTTACGATAAAAATATATTAGTTTCTGTAAAGCGAATCCCTCTTATCTGAGATGAATAATTTTAGTATGAAGCTTTTTAAAATTTTCTAGTTCTGGGATTTCAAATAGTTCCGAGAAACATTTTAGATCGAGACTTTTTCCACGAACTTTGTTTTGTTGAAAAAATATTTGAGATACAAATGTTTTGATTGCAGTCGAGTGCAATTAATTTGCATATTCAGCAAACGCTGCGAAATTTATTGCGGTGACTAATTCTAAATAGTTATTCTATATTGGCATTGAAATTATCTGAATAATGTGCTTAATTCTAAGAAAATAATAGTTACATAAACTAAATAAAAATTATTAAAGATAAAAGTTTGTTACATTAACTGTACTTAGCTTGGGAGCTCCCTAAACTTTATGAAGTGAAAATTGCAAACTGAAATACTTATCTTAATTTAATACTTATTATATGTACTACATTAAAGATATTAATACTTTGCTTATAGATGTTAGATTTTTTTGATTTCTTTTCCGTTTATGCTTGATCTTTCATAATTCAACCTAACTCAATTGGTTTGTAACTAAAATAATGAATTGTAATGGAGATTCATAAAATGCTAGAACACTTTCCTTCTGGTCGTTTGCATATGTAATAAAAGTAACACCATTGTCATCAGTTACATTATCCATTTAAGTAATATGATAAATTCAATGCATAAGTGAAAAGGTAAAACCATTGACTTCATTAATACTGTTCAAGTTAGCATTATGGAGAATTGATCGCTTAAACCGGGAGTGCGCCCAGGACTCTGGCATAAAATATAATCTATATAAGCTTGAGACAAGATTTAAGCAGAAGAAGGTTTTAGGTTCTGGAAACTAAATGTTTTAATTTGATTCTATAGTTCTATTACTTTTATTGAGTTTGAAATTAATAAAAAAAAATGTTGAAAATTGTTTGCTTTATATGCTAACTTTTTATATTAGATAAATAATTTAAGAATACATTTACAATAATTGTACCCTTCGTCACATTAGCTATTATTTTATGATTTGGTGATCGTAATGAATATTACATACCACGTAGTGATACCTATCAGTCTTCTAATGTGCATATTGATGAATCTATATTAGTAAGGAAACTATTTTAATAGATTGAATACTGCCAATAATTCCTTAGTACCTTTGACGTACACGTGGGAAGTGATTTACAGCTGTAGTGGCACTGTCTAGCGTATGTCTTAAAAAGATTAACTACGCAGAGAATTTTTTTCTAGATTATCTTAGCGCAGAATCATACTATTTTCATGACAGAATAGCCATTGCTCCTCAGCGTAAGTTTTTTACAATACAACGTTTAGTGACTCTATGAATTTTCAGTACTTAGTTATACTAAAAACTTGCACATGTAATGAAAGACTTGCCATTACTTCATATACTCGATAGTGAAAAAATTTATATAAATTTCATTATTTCCGTGTGCGAGTTTGAGTAAATTGAGGTAAAGTAAATTGGAATTTCCTAATCATTTTTTGCACTGCACTTATGTAAATATATATTTTTTTATTGCACGTATTTACTATTTTTGGTTAAAAGATTTCAATTTTATTTATTTATGTATTAAACATCTTATAAAATTTTCACAATGGTAACATCTAATTTACTTGATTTTTATCTCATTTACCTTACTTGAAAATCTGGTAAATATCAACGTTTGCTGTTATACCGACATAATTTACTATTTCTCTCAATTTACTATCAATTTACTCGAACTCGCATCCGGCCTATATATTTTCAAACAATATTGTTCAGTGTTATAATAATAATCTTTACATTCTATGGTAATTAATGAATAAATGTGGTCCGAAAAATTTTCTCTAGATTAGATTTCCATAGACTAAATTATTTAAATATTTAAGAAATATGATATAAATAGTTATTAGAAAATTATTTAAACGCATGCAAAAATAAATTAATAAATAAAAAAATAAATATACAATATTTACATACATCTACACATACATATTTAAATCCTTCTTCTTTGTTGATGTGTGTATGTGGGAAACTGAAGTGAAAATGCGAACACAACACAATATAAACATATGTTGAAATCCCAACAAAATAAAGAAAAAAGAAACAAGCCAAGTGATTGCCATGACCACGCCAGCCAACTTGACAGAACAAAGAAAATTTTGCAACAAAAACAAACAACGAAAACGCAAAAAAATACCAATAATAAATTTCAATGTCTTTGCATTTTCTTTCTACCTGTGGAAATTAGTTGTAGAAGAGTGTTGATCGTGTGTGGTTAATTTGCCTTGTCGCGTTTGCCTTGTTTCCCATACATTCGTGTTTGTTGATAAAAAAAATGTGAGCAGGCGGAAAAGAAAGAGAATTTAAATGTCAAGGATTTATTTAATATTAATACGGTAAAAATTATTCATATTTAAAAGTGCATTTAAATAATGACAATTTCAATTAAAAGAAATTAAATACTTCTCTATAATCGTTTGAGCAGTGTTAATACAATTTATATATATATGAAAAACAATAATAAAAACAATAACAATAATGAAAACAGTAACAATATCAATGCATTTTCTTTTGTAATTTATTTTATTAAGAAAAGAAATGAAAACAAATTTCTACGAAGAGTTTTCTACTCTATATAGCCTACTGAGTCTTTTTAGTCTATGTAGACGTCATGTCGTCAAGCTGCCAATTGCGTAGCGAATGTTGTCTCAGTTGTTTTTGTTAATTTAATTGCTGCTTTTATTTATATTTTTTTGTTTATTGTTTTTTTTCTGTCTTTAAAGCTTTAATGTTGTTCGTTCATCGTTGCTTGTGTTTATGCAATGCTTTAATTGAACTTGTCATTGATAATTTATTTGTTATTATGTTTAACTCTCTTTTGCAATTAAAATTCTTATAACAGTGTTTTTTTGTTGTTTTAGACTATTCCTGTTATTGTTTTTTGTTTGTTCATTGTCTTTATGATAAAGCTTTACATGCTTATAAATTCTTCTAAGAATACTTTGTCCACTTGAAACATGTTTGTACCGACTTAATCCGATATAAAATTTTATGTTCAGTTTTTGTTTTCAATTTATTTTGAACTTGCTTTCAACTTGCTTTCAATATTTGAATTCAAGTTTATTGTTATTATTAAAAAAAAATTATGGGATAATATCTTAACCTTTTTAATATATGTTGGGGTAAAATTAAAATTAATTTAGAATTGAACTCATTTTTTTTATTTAAATGAAAATGCCAATTATGCATTTTTATAGATTGAATCGAAAATGATTTTAATTTAAATTTGTAATTTGACAAATAAATAAATAAGTAAGACATGAACTCCATTTACTTCTAACTATATATTGATATATGTATGTATATATTCATTACATTCACTAGTTATGTATGACACATACGACGCATATAGATGACATAAGACCAGCTAAGGCTCATATTATGTACAGTGTCACGGGCACGTCAAAATCAAAATTGTAGTTGCTTTCAATACAAATGAAAAAACAGAGTGAAAGAAAAAAACAAATGGTTTAAATTCGGTCATGAGAGCCGAGGCTATCTATGCCTCGTTACTCAGCCTAAGCCGTGTTCTACGTATCTGTGTATATACTTCTTTAAAAATTTAGGCACAAAAGTACAAAAGTCATAGTAATAATACGAAATTGATAAATTGCTGTGACTCTCTGCATAACAAGCGTTTTCGTCATAGCTCGAAAGAGTCAATTTTGACGTGCCCGTGACACTATACATAACATGGGTCTAAGGATATAAAACCTTCAATAAGAATAGAAAAAGTTAATAATTTAAAGCAAATAATTCAATAAATTAAGGTCCTACGGTTCAGAAGTGTTTAAATTATGTAAATAACAAAATATTAATTCTCAAGAAAGAATCGACAAATTGTTAGTTTTCAATTTCACAGCTGACAAAAACTCATTTTATTATTAAACAAAAAAAAAAATTAATTATAAAAAATTATTAAAAACTAAAAATCATTTCAGTAGAATTTATGTGTGGGATGTATATATATTTTGGTTTTGTGTTGAAAAACTAAATTTTTTATAGATCTGCAACAAACGGTGAAACAAAAGCAAAACTAATTTTTTAAACAAAATTATTTTAAACAAATATACGTTATTTATTTACTAAAATGAATTAATCATGCAAAGTTGAGTTAATCAAGTGAAACAAAATAAAAAAAAAATTAAATAACCTTCACACAAAAAAATTGAGAGTTTACTATTAAAAAGTCTTCAGATTTGTAACGTAAGTACGTACTTATTTTTATAATTTTATTGTTATATTAAAATAACATTAATGCAAAAAATATTTGACAGTGACAATAGAAAAAGTATTGAGAAATTTGTAATACTAAAAAATGAATATTTTTTTTCATAAATATAAGTCTCAGTCATCAGATAATATATAGTTGCTATACCCAAAAAAGTAGCGATCGACTCCATTTCATAGACAAATGGAAATCGTGAGGGAAATTTATTGGTAAATACAAAAATTTTCCATATTAGAGCTTGTCTCTGGCATCTCTGCTTATGATCTTACAAATAATAAAGAAAAATAATTATAATTTTTCAGTTTATGTATGCCAGAATATAGTCATCAGTTTGCATGTATTTTGAAAAATATTCAAGTTCAAATTTTTGACTAAATTACTTGTAACCCAAAATTTAATTAGGCACACGTCACTAAATCGGTACGCTTTATAATTCTAATTAACTGATTTTATAACGTTGAACACAATTAATTCTGTTATAATTGGAAAGAATCTCTCCGAGCTGTTTGACATAAAACGAGGTTTCAGATAGGTTGACTCTTTACCATGTGACTTTTTTAATTGCTAAACATCACTTGGTAATAAATGCTTCTTTAGTAATTGGAAACAAAGTTTTCTTGAAACTTTCTACTCTACTTTTGTTGGTCCTTCTGTATTGCCCAGAAGCTTCGACAACAACGAAACCCATTAAGGGCATTCAGAGAAAATCCTTCGGAAGGTCTGTAATCCTGTACACTTTGGTGCAAGTATCGAATTAGATGGAACGATGTGGATATATTAGCTGTATTAGACATTGACATAGTCAGTGGATTAAAATTTAATGCTTGGTATGGTCGTGATATCACGTGAATGGTTGTTAATACAATGGTTAGGCAATTGTTTCGAACACCGCTAGTTAAAGGACATAAAATGCGCTTACAAATACTAATTAAAACTGATAAAAAGGCTACATTTTTTTTTAGTGAAACAGATAATTATAATTTTATATGTGATATTTTAAGTCAAACACGATACGATTTTAGGGCTATGTAGTTATGAAAAATTTTTAAATTGATTTATTCAGAACTTTATATTTCGATTCTTTAACAATATCTTTATTTCTGAAAATAGAATAAAATACTTTTTACAGTGAAATCTGTGTTGCCGTTGACTGCGTATTGATGCACTGTAAAGTGCATTGTTATAATTTTAAAAATTGAAAAAAATTAGAATTGTCGATGATTTTATAGATAGAAATAATATTAATTGTTGACCATAATTAGCCTTACTCAAAACACTATACTACTTAGTTGATTAATATAATAGTGCTTAAAGGAATAAAAAAGAAATACCTAATCTTATGCGCAATTGATGTTGATTTCCTGCAAAAAATTAAAATTTATTCCATGAAATCGGCTGTGGACCAACTACAACTTTCTAAATGAAATGAAATTTTCAGTTCCGGTGTAGTTACAACGGTAACTTACTTGGTGTTCTTAAAATGAATTTTTTATCAAACTGAAATTGTACTGCACAAAATGTCGTAAACCTTATAAAAAAATTTATCTTATCAGAAATCATAAGTAACTAACATCAAACTGAGCACTCATATTTCAAGACATGTCAAAATTATTAGCTAAATGAGATTTAATATGGAAAATGATTTATTTGTATATTTCTTTAAATGATATTTAATATTATCGAACATGGTTTGGATTAAAGCAAATGTTTGTGTTTTTTGTTTTCAACTTTAAAAGTTGCTATTGTTTTTTTTATAATTCTTAGATGTATAGATCCCAATATGGATTTATGCATAGAAGAATAATTGTATGGCTAAAACATGGGAATTGGGGAATATTTTTAAGTTTTTTATGCGATCTTATCTACCTTTATTTGTTATTTAATTAAGACCACAATACTAATATTGTTTTTTATTTTGTTTATCAATCTAAAAGTATGTGAAGTTTTTAGTTGTTAACATTTAGTTTAATCTTGTTAAACTTGTTAATCTTGTTAAACTGGTTATATAAATTATAATTACCTAATGTAACATGTATGAGTAGTTAGAGAAAACTTTTAAGTTGGCAGTGGAAAGATTACAGAAAATTAAAATTTATAAGTAAAATGTACTTCGGACCAGGGCCAAATTTCTGATAGCTGGAAAAGCATTTCATTTCCAATTAAGAAATTGAGATCATGTCTAAAGAAGTATTATTAGTTTCATTCGAAGATAATATCCTGTAAAATTAGCGTCTGTGTTAAAGTTTTTTATTTTTTTTATTACCTCCCACAAACGGTGTACCTGTGTCAACATAAATGTAGATCGGCACTTATATTATACATTTTATTTTTCTCTCACAATGCAAATTTAAGTCCTGCAAACTTTAAAAATTTATAATTTACATCATACTTATCCAACTAAGTTTTAAAGATGTCAGCTATACTCCACCCAATGTCGTATATTTATTAATTTCTCTGAGTCAATTTATTCAGTTTATTCAGTTGGGCAGACATAAACCTGTCTATAAAGACATGCTAAGCCTTCATCCTTTTTTGTTTAGTTTTCCTTCATAGGAAACACATTTTGAAACTGTAATTTATTCAAAATTTTTTTATCAATAATAAAAAAACATATATTGTTTCTAATATTTTGTTTGTTCTTTCTTTCAAATGACAGTTCATGTGCGTAAAGAACCTAAGTCTTTTGACTTTTTATATATTCTTGCAAGTAGTACATATGCTATGAACAGGATATTGAACAATGCTATTAACTCAACTGCGATCTGTGTAATGTGGTAAAGCAAACATTGGGAACTTATAGTATATGTATAATTCTCGACTAGTTCGACATATCTATCCTATTCAGTGATGTCCAAATGGTTTTTGGTTTAACTTTTTTTAACAAGTACTAGCTTTTTAATTGATGAAATTGGCAATTATAATTTTGCGAACATCGTGTTAGGAAGCAGAGTTTAAATAATATTCGAACGAAATGCAATTTAATGACTGTACTCTGCAGCTAACATTCAAATTAAAATTAAATAATTATAACTGTTTTTTTTATTGATTAACATATTTTGATTACATTTTAATTGCTACGTAACTGAACGATTACGATTTATATATAAAAATCTATAAAGTTTTCTTATTTTATTATATAACCAAACAACATTGCTAAAAATTTTAGTAATTCATTCATTTCAGATATACATATATAAAACTTACTTACCTAACCTGAGAAAACTTAGGTAATTATTTCTGTATGTTTCTGCAGATCGGTGTTTGGGCTTTGACAAAGTGAAAACTTTTTTTTTAATTTTAATAATAGATCAAGGTCTAAAAAGTCCGAGATCACTCCTTAAGAATATCATATTAATGGTTACAATTAACATATATGTATATATGTTTTTTTCGTCTTCTATGACTACAACTGAAACAAGCTATTCCAGTTCCAAAGGCACCAGGGCAACCCAAGCAAATGAAAAATTGATTGGATTAATTGTAATGGATATCCATAACGATACTTTCGTTAGTCATAGAGAAGGGATTAAAAAGTGTGTAAATATGAAATCACAGCAGATGAGAGCGAAACAAAATTGAGGAAGGCACAAATTATTGAATAAATGAGACAATGAATACTAAATATTAATTTTCTTGATCTAAACAAGTCCTTTCAATTAATGTACCATAGAGCATTTAAGTCTAGGGCTCCTCTTTTATTTCGTCTACTATTGTTTACTATTTCTGGCATTTTGAGTAAATAAATAAACTCACAAAATTATCATATTTCAACCTTTAAAGAATTATAGTAATACTATATATTGTAGTGCCCATGATCTACATCAATGATATACACATAGTAGAAAAAGTCTACGGATATTCACAAAATTTTTCTAAAATTACGCATAACTTTTTTAATTTTTACTCAAATTCATTTTTATTTCCTGATTTATTTTAACCAAAGAAACAACAATAAAGTTGCAATATTAAAACTAAACAGTTATTCTTTAAAAAAAAAATTAAACACAATTACATTAAGACCGAAAAGTTTTCGGAAATTCTCATTTAAAATTCGCGCGCTGTATATTTTTCGATATTTTAAGTTTATGTAGTTTGGCAGCACTGTCCTTAATTACTATGCCAAAAATGAGCGCGATCTGTCAGACAGTTCGTTTACGGCAGCTGTTGAAACCAGTTCACCTCAGTAGGGCGTTGCGAAAAAAACAATGGAAAAAAATATTGAACAAAGAGTTTGCATCAAATTTTGTGTTTCGAACGAAATTTCGTGTGCAGAATCGTTGCGAATGCTACAAAAGGCTTATGGGGAATCAGTTTTATCGAAAACTCAAGTTTATGAGTGGTACAAAGCCTTCCAGGACGGTCGTACGACCGTCGAAGACATTTCGCAACGCACTACTGAGGTGAACTGGTTTCAACAGCTGCCGTAAACGAACTGTCTGACAGATCGAGCTCATTTTTGGCATAGTAATTAAGGACAGTGCTGCCAAACTACATAAACTTAAAATATCGAAAAATATACAGCGCGCGAATTTTAAATGAGAATTTCCGAAAACTTTTCAGTCTTAATGTATATGCGAAAGTAGCAATTTTTGAAGCAGAAAAAGTCTACGGATATTTCTTAATATTTACATTAAAACAATAAAATTCACAAAAATCTTAAATTTAATAGCCTGTGGGATAACCCCTGCATTTAATAACCTCTGTTAAGCGTCTTTCCATTGACTCAACTAGCTTTGATGTATCCTGTGCGTTTATTTCTAGCCATTCTTCTTTGATGACGTTTCTTGCTATATCCTTGCTGGAAAACATATGCTGGCGAATCTTATTTTCCAAATAAACCCACAGATGTTCTATAGAACTAAGGTTTGGTGATTCTGGTAGTGTTTGAAGTTGCCTGAGAGCATAGTACAGCATCCAAATCCGTACTATGACTGCTGTATGCTTAGAGTCATTGCCCTGCTGAAACAAAAAGGTTGCCT